GTAGGGAAAGACTAAGTCCATTGGAGTGTATTAAGTACGCATACCCCACAAAATATCCAGGAAAATTGTCATTGCTCATTAAATCTTTATGGAATTGGATCTACATTTTTGGAAGATACAAAGACTGTATGGATAAAACAACCTTCCTATAGAATCAGGATCCAATTCTGTGGCCTCTACAAGGCTTTATTCTCCCAGTACTGGTGGGTCTGATATGCGTTGCATCCTCAGTTCAGGCTACTGAACAGGCAAATTTATGCACTGTCCATAAAAGCAGGAGGCTTTTGAGGGTTGAGTCTCCCTCTCCCTCCACCTCCCCAGGAACGTATTTCAAGATCAACTGAGAGCTTTGGGCAAAGTTCAACTGGATTTATTTGTTCCTTTCTGATCTGCTTTGACTGTCCCTGGTCAGGATTACAACCAACTTGAAACAAACACAACTAAAAAGGTAAACAAGGGGATGAAATAATAGCAGTGTGTTCCTCTAAGACCCTGTCTAGTGCTGATAAAGCTGAGGAGATAAAAGGAAATCGTATTTAAGTAATAAGAAAGCTTTGTTCATGTTGGCAAGTTCTCTGACCATGGATGCTTTAGATGCAGAGATAAGACCCCCAGCTCAGAGTTCAGAGATATGCTACGACATACTCTGCGGGGAGACAGGCAGCTAAGAACACAAGGAAAATGCATTCCAAAATGATACATGTCGAATTGCTGGCCAGGCTTTCAAATGCCATTGATAGTTTATGCAAAGTCTCACACTGTTGTAAGTCATAACACAATCTATTGGCTGCTCTTCCTAAACCCAGTCCCAGTTATTTTGAGAAAAATAAATAAACTGAAAAATGTCTTCCAGCCCATTAAAGTGACTGTGTTTTATCCTTAGCATCGGTACCTAATTCTGGACAATGTGATAGGTGATTCTTGGCACCTTTGTGCTTTAAAATCTCCCTATGGTATTGAGTAAGCCAATATTGTATTCTCAGGCTTCACTGATTCTTGGAGCTAGAAGGAAACTTTGGCCATCAGTGGGTCTTAATAAAACAGTGAAGTCATTTTCTTCATGAACTATCACAGGATAGCTTGGTATGTAAAGTAGAGCACTGAAGCTCCTCTTGGTTCATATTAAGCTGACCTCCAGGGCAACAGCAATGTGGGCTTTGGGAGTCCATGGAGGAATCTTTGAGTCTATGGCTGACTGAACATTCAAATGAGCAAGATCAACTGAGATCCAAAGGTATAATTATACCTCAGATTTTCAGCAAACATGAACTAGAACCAGTTCTCCTTAGTACAAAGCCAGCAACTGAACTTTCTAGGTGATGCCGCATGTTTCTGAAAAGTTGTCTAAGTGATTTATCTTCCTCCGAAGTTTCAAGAGTAAATTAATAAAGATAGTAATGCGAAAGGACCCGAGAGCAGCATATGTACAGCTCTTGGCATTTTATTTGCAGCTTTAAATAGGAACATGCTCCAGTAATTTTATTTAAAAATGGAAGCATTTAATGCTGCCACTGTCGATCCCCATGCAACTATGTCTTTTTAAAAATATTTTATTTATTATTTTTATTTTATGTGTATGCATGTTATTCCTGCATGTAGATAAGTGCACCCATATCATGCAATGCCTGTGGAGGACAGAAGAGGCTGTCAGATCCCCTGGAACTGGAGTTACGGACAGTTGTTAGCTACCATGTGGGTGCTGGGATTTGAACCTGGGTCTTCTGCAAGGACAGTCAGTATTCTTAACCACTGAGCAATCTCTCCAGCCCCACAACTATGTCTTTTGTTTGAGCATTGCTTAGCATCTCATTTTTGTAAACAGAATGGAGACCTGACATTTTCTTTTTATATTTTTGTTTTATTTAGTGATGTTTTGTTCTTTGACAATTCCACACATGTATATAATGTATTCCGATTACTCTTTACCTCCCCATCCCTAGCAACCATTCCTCCTCCCGTAATTCCCTTTCCTACATTATTCATGGTTTTTTTGTGTGTGATCACTGAGCTTAACTGGGGCCAACTGTGTGATTATGTGTTTGGAACTATCCACTGGCGCCTAGTGGGTTCACCAGTGGCTATGCAGCAGAATACAGTGACTCCTCCTCTCATAAAATCCACCAGGAGCCAATAGTTCAACAAGGAGGGGTAGAGGCCTGTGAGCCCCTCTCCTATCCATGATGGACTGTTGACAGGTCCGGTCTGTGCAGGCTCAGTGTAGGTAACTGAAACTGCTGTTTGTCTATGACTGCAATGACTGTCCCAGGCTAGAAGACGGTGCGTTGCAGCCCTTCGCCCTGTCTCCTAGCTTGTGTATTCTTTCTTCCTCCAGTTCTGTGATGTCCACTGAGCCTTAGAGGTTAGATTGTGTGATATAAATGCCATGTGTAGAGATGAACATCCAGCCAAAGACTTGACAGTTTCTGAGTATCTCTAGAAGTCACAACAACCATCTGAAGAAATGGTGGAGGGAGGGCCATTTGAGTTTGGCCATATGTATAGATGAGATGCTCAGCATGTTAAAAAGGAGGCTGGGTGATGTCAAAAACAAGAAGGATCGTCTGTTTCAGAAGAACGAGATCTAGTTCAGTGCACTGGAGCCACCGTGCAAAAACACACAGTTAAGGAAGTTGATGCCGATAGTTTTACACCTGTTTTTTCATGGCTTTATAAGCCAATGTCTTGGAATTTTTTCCTTTTATTTGAAAAAATAAGCAAGCGTGCTATGTTAACTATGCTGGCTTTGAACTCTTTCCCTCAAGTGAGCCTCCTATCTCAATTTCCCAAGCCGCTATTGTTACACGTACATACCTCTATGCCCAGCCTGGAGGTCATTGTTCTTTTCTTTTTAATTTATAAAACTACATGGAGTAATATAAACCAAAGAAGCTGTTTATTAAGCATATATACCACATAACAGGGGAGTATACTATCTGAGTTGGCAGTTATGCTAATCTTGCTTGCTTCTACTTTCTTTCTGTAAGATAGCATACTGTAGCTAAGATTACACCATTTCTCCCTCTCCCTGATACCAGGGCAGCTGCACTCTGAATTTTGTCTATGCTTTCTCATGATACATTCAATTCATGCAAATCTCAGCCACATACAGATCTCTCTCTCTCTCTCTCTCTCTCTCTCTCTCTCTCTCTCTCTCTCTCTCTATCTCTCTCTCTGTGTCTCTCTCTCTCTCTCTCTCTCTCTCTCTCTCTCTCTCTCCTTCTGTCTCTCCCTCTGTGTCTGTCTCTGTCTCTCTCTCTCTCGCAGAGAGAGAGACAGAGAGAGAGAAATTTGTACATTTTTTTTCACTGTGTGACTTTGCCAGCTCTTCATGTTGGTGACCAACTCCACTTGCTCTCCCCTAATGATTGCCCTAGGGCCACAGTGTGAATCTAGTTAAGTCCTCTTAATGTCATTTTGTTCTGCATAATTCCACATGTGACCTTTTCACATTTTTACCCCTGTCCTCAACAGGTAAACATATGGACTATTCTTCATTTTGTCTTTCTATATGAGTATATCTAAGTATATTACAGGAATGGAAGTATCTGATTGTTCATAACTGTTCATTTTGCTCTCTTTATTTATGTGTTTGTGCTGTTTAGGTTGAGACTGATCACCTTGCTTTCCTTTTCCATAACTTTCAGGGTCTTGAGAACTCTCTAAGGCAGCCTTATTTCTCAGATAATAATGCCATGATCTGGAGGTATAAAATGTCAGGCCCAAACTCACAGGGGAGTTTGAAAGAGGGGTCCTATCAGAGATCAGAGGAAAGTGCTAATTTGAGATAATCTTCTGTCAAATCTGACCAATCTCAGTTCTTCCCTTTCCCTGCATGAGCTATGTGTTCGGATGTGATTACTTGCCAAATGTTTGTATGTTGTGCCTCTGTCTTGTGCCCATTTCGGTCCCAGGTGCTTGACTGATAAGTTTCTCAATAAATAAAATTAGGATGAATTGAATCAATCAATAAATGGGATGACATTTGGAAATGTAAGAGACTCTTCTAAATTAAAACACTCTACCGATGTTTAAATACTTCCTGATTCTTTTAATGCACTTGACTATTAGGTCTCATTGAGGATGTGTGTGATGTGTTGCAGATGTGTTTGTGACATATGTTTGTGATATGTATCTGATATGTGTGTGATGTGTGCCAGATGTGTATGTGTAATCTGTTTGTATGTATGTGCTGTTTGGGTGATGTGAGTGTGTGTAATCTGTATGTGTATGTATATGTGTGCTGTGTTTATGCCTAATGTGCATATGCATGTGATATGTGTGCTGTTTATGCCTGATGTGCGTGTGATGTTTGTGTGAGATGTGTATGTGTGTGATGTGTGTATATATGTGATATGCATGTGATGTATGTATGTAATGTGTATACATATGATTTGTATGTGTACACATTATATATTGTGCTATCTATGTGTGCATGTATGTGATATGTGCATCCTTATGTGTCGTGTGTATGAATGTGATGTGTATGTGGCATATGTGTGATGTGTATGCATTTGATGTTTGTGAGATGTGTGTATGATGTGTATATGTGTGTGTGTTGTGTATGTGTGATGTTCATATATGTGTGCATATGTGTGTGATATGCATGCATGTGTGTGTGTGTGTGTGTGTGTGTGTGTGTGTGTGTGTACTGATGGAATTGCTTTTCCTTGATGATGCAGAAGCCACAGCTTATGTTCTCATAGTGATGTCTTGCCATTATACAGCTCTACCACAGATTCAGGCCCATATTCAGTGTCAACTCCTCCAGGATTTCTTCCCGGGAGAAAGACCTTGTCTCTCTGCCAGCAATTTATGCTGCTTGTCCTTTCCCTTCCAGTGTCAAGGATTGCTTCTACATTAGAATTTGAGCTTCCAGAGAAGATTTGTGTCTGTTCACCTCTGCTTTCTCTTGCAATAACAAGAACAAACTGATGGACAGTAAAGGTTTGTTAAATTCTCAAGATCATCAAAACACTATCTTTTCCTTCATCTTTCTCCAGGTGTGTCGAACCAAGGTGATAGATCTCAGTGAAGGCATTTCTCAGCATGCTTGGTACCCGTGTACCACCAACTATCCCTACTCTCAGATGGCTCAGACCACTTTCTGGCTGCAGGTAAGCCCTGCACTTGAGAACCACACATGTCTAGGTTTGGAATCCAGGAAACACTGACCATTGTGCTGACTCTTTCTCGAGATGGTCCGTCTACCCACTAAAGCTGTCCATCTCTAGGGATGGGAAACAGAAACTTGCTCATGCATTGCTTCCTGAAAATGAATCCTGCGATTGCTCATGGAATCCCGCCATTCAATGCTTATATTGGCAAAGACTTTGGATATTTTCTATCTGCCTTTTATTTGTTATTCAAGAACTTTAAAAATTATCTTTTCCTACGTGATATCTTTACTGATCTCCACAGAAAGTGGCCATTTGTTCCCCTCTAGCTCTGCACATACTTAGTCATCTGCTAGATGGCAACTGTCACATGGTGTTTCACAGCTGTATGTGGATCCATCTTCCTGTCTAAAGACCATGGATTGTAGTGATTTTAGTTTACTTGTTACTGACCTACTTTAAACTCCATGGTTCCCAGAAGTGCAAGGATCATGCCTTATTTGGCTTTATAGTCTTGGGACCTAGTGTAGAAGCTAACATAGATGACTGATGGGTAATAAATCTACCATATGGGAATTGTGTGTGTGTGTGTGTGTGTGTGTGTGTGTGTGTGTGTGTGGTTTGCTACATACCGTCCCTATGCTAGACACTATATTCCCCTTGTCTTGTGAGAAACTCACAGTGATCCTATTTAGAACTGAAGGAACTCAGGCTCAGAATGTTCTAGCCAGCCATCAGCATCACAAAACAATTCAGGAGCAGAGCCAAGACTGAAGGAGAATTTCTGACCACGGCGTCTGGCTCCTTAGTACTTGAATTCTAGTCCTCCTCCTTCCCATTGAGGGAACTGGGTGAAACAGAAACATTCCTCTTCAGTCTGCTCTAATGTGGCTGTTTCCTTACCTCGTAGCTGGGGACATACATGACCCTATCCTGTCTTCTTTATTTCAGACACACTTCTCTCATCCAATGGTTGCTGCGGCTGTTATTGTGCATCTGGTGACCGATGGGACATACTATGGGGACCAAAAGCAGGAGACCATTAGTGTGCAGCTGTTTGATACCAGAGACCAAAGCCATGACCTAGGCAAGCACGTTCTTCTGGGTTTGGCTCAGCTTTGGTACTCCCGTCCCTTTTCCTTTCTCTTGCATCTTCACTGTTTGCAGTTCTGGTTGTCTCCATTGAAATGAGGTTTTGTGTCTAGAGAAACTTGGGTTTGACAAATATGAGGGCAAGGAGTCAACAGCAAAGCTTTCCCTTCAACAACCTCACCCAGGCGCCCACAGAATCCTCAGAAGATTCTGTGAAGAAGACTGAACAAGGGACATTTTCCTGCCATCCACATGGACAACTGAAGCCTGTTGGAAGACATTGAAAAGCCACATATCACACAGAAGTCAGAACCCAGAGTAGTCAGGTTTCAGGATAATATCCCTCTCTAGTAGGTGTTTCTGGAAAACCCAAGAGAGGCTGTGTGCTCAGCACATCGAGAGAATATCCAAGTGGGAGTAGGGATTAGACAGCTTTCTATCATGCTCAGGAGTGGGAGACTCAAGTGAAGAGTCAGGTCCTACCCTCTGGGGAGCGGCCCTGAGCACAGAGCCAAGTGGGAGAACAAGGGCATGAGTTGTCACTTATACGATTCCTCCACATAGTCACTAGTGTCCTGGTATGAAGAAAGGTCCAGCTTCAAAGCTGAGAGTCATTCAATTCCATATCCACCAGTGACTCACTTTAGAAATGTGAATAATTTTCTTGGCTACACAGCACCTTACTCCAAGCTTGATATTCTTTGAATGCATGGTAGGGACCACCTTATGGTCAGGGGCTATATTTCTTGTCACAATACTTGACACTAAAGCACTTCCTATTTACATCGAGAATCCAGTTACACACTTCTGTATCCATCTACCCTGGAGATCTTGAGGCAGTCCTTGCAAATGTTTGGAATTCTGGATCAGCCCCGGAGTGTGCACTTCAAAGCTGTGTGCACACATTGTGCAGGAGAGCCCATTTCAAAAACCCCTAAGAAACCAGAAGACAAAGGGTCACTTCAGAGTTAAAAAGAAGCCAAGGAGGCAGAGAAAACTTTTTTGTTTTCTTTTCATGTTTATTTGTTTAATAGTTTTAAAGGCAAAGGAAAAACATATTAAGAAGAAAGAGAAAGAAAATCCCTTTGGACTGCTCTGGATTCCTGGGAAATTTTCCGAAGTCAGAAGCAAATATTTTTATAGTCATCCTGGCATTACAAACGACTCTGAGCAGAGGTTGCTTACAGAGAAAGGAGACATCAAGCTCATCAGAAGTTCCTTAATCCTGCTGCTGGTGTCTGAGGCTGCAATGGTCCCTTGTCCCTCCCCATCGGACCTTCCTGTTCTCTGCCTCCCCAGTACCCAGCAGAGAAAAGCAGAGAAAGGACACCTGATGGACTTGTACTTCATCCTTTCACAGGGAGAACGCTCCTATCTGCTAGAAAATAGTATTATACCATTTTTCAGATGTAGAAATGGAGTCTTAAGCGCTTGCTAGAATGCCAGCATCAGCAAATAGCTAAACTAGAATTTGAACCCAGATCCACCAAACACTGAAGGCCACCTCTGTTCCAACCAAATCACTTCCTCTCTCTCCAGTCCACGTGTCTTTTCTCTCTGCTGCTAAACCTGGGCGCCTGCTACCAGTACTGGAAAGTATGGAGGATTCCTGACGAAGACAGACTTGAATTCTACTCTTGCTTGGTGCTAGAGATGTTTGTCTGAGGGTCTGCGCGCTTCAGTTTCCCTCGTCGATTGGGCACAGAGCTGCTCCCCCACCTCAACCGCTCCCAGGGATGCTCACAGACCTGCAGTTAAGCCATGAGAATGAGCTTTTCTTTCTGGGAAGGGCTTGCTGCTGTGAATGGTTCCCTCACCTTTATGACTGGCCAGGCAGGCAGTCTGAACACCAAAGGCTCCGTCCATCAAGCCCCTAGGCAACGTGGGAGGGAGAGAGGGCCATGGATGCTTGGCTGAGGGTGGCCATTTGGGGGAGGGAGAGAGGCTGTGGGCACTAGGTGAAGGGAAAGCTTAGGGGCCAGGGAGGCAGGGGGATTGGAAAGATTTGGAAGCAAGAAAAAAGGCAGACAAAGAAACTTTCAATCAAACTCAAAATCCTTACTGGCCGCCCAATGGTGCTTTTGTGGAGTGACATGAAAGGGTCTGGGGGCTTCGGGAAGGGCCCGTTGGGGAGGGCGTGACTGGCCTTGAGTAATGAGTCTGGCCCCTCGGCCCTCTGTCTCCCCTGACAGGCCTCCATGTCCTGAGCTGCAGGAACAATCCCCTGATTATCCCTGTGGTCCATGACCTCAGCCAGCCCTTCTACCACAGTCAGGCGGTTCGTGTGAGCTTCAGTTCGCCCCTGGTCGCCATCTCGGGGGTGGCCCTCCGCTCCTTCGACAACTTTGACCCTGTCACCCTGAGCAGCTGCCAGAGAGGAGAGACCTACAGCCCTGCTGAGCAGAGGTAAGGCAACCAGGGCCTCCTCACACTAACCCTGGATCATTTGTAGCCAAGTAGAGACAGTCTAAAGTTGGGCAGCCACTCCTGTTGCCGTTAATGTCTGTATTTCTTGGTTCTCCAGTCTCTGATCTCTGCCCAGTTTGGCCTTTGGGATTGAAGGGTCCACAAGTCCCTGAATTCCTGGAGTGAGCCAGAGAAGTGGGATGTGTGGTGGAGAGACACCCTCTCTCACCTAGCTTGTAGCTGTTGAGTTGACAACAGGGTACAGGGTGATCTGGAAACAGCAGTTTCCTTCTCTAAGCCTCAACAACCCCATCTGAATAAATTAGGGCAGGTGGATTGCCTCTTTCAACTCTGAAATATTAGAATACTCTGCTTTGTAACTGGCACAGGCAGGAGACATGTTCCTCCTCCGTTTTGACTGGTGTGCCTAGTGTTGCTTCATCCTAGTTCACTGCCTTTTATGAGGAGTCCTCCAGTCTTCTGCAAGCTGAGCCCCTGAGATTCCCCCTGTGGTCTAGGAGCTTGTCTTTTAACTGCATAACATCACTCCATTAGCGCCTTTGATCTGGCATCTGTTAATGCTCTCAAGTATTGCTGCGAAAGGATGGTATTTCTTCGAAAGAATAAGAGCTTTGGGAATACGCAACTTGGGCTTGAATCTCCACATCACAGCTTCTCAGAGGAGTCATTTCTGTTTTCTGAGTTTTACTTTTTCGTTTGGGGACACATAGGTGATAATATCTGCCTCTTAACATGATTGTAAAGGTTAACAATTATATTATAGATAAAAATAATCTTGCAAATTGGTGCACTATGCAAAGTTAATGTATGAATGAAGACTATTAACAGCCTGCTTTCCAACCATGAGGATGGTGCCTCTGTATAGAGTTCTGTGTACTGTTCTGAAAGTCAGAAGTGGAAGAAGCCTCAGAGATTATCTAGGACATCCAACACATCCAAACTTCAGTGTCACCATCTGGGATTCCAAGGCCCTGAAAAGAGAAATGGTCTAGCATTGCCCAGCATCTCTCAAGTTTGTTTAATGAGATCCAGAGGGAGAAGGAGGGTTTGTATGTTGGTGGACTCTGCAGAGTGAAGCCCTCTGCAAGGCAATTTATCCCTGCCCTGTACACCTGGGGGCAAGGAGCAGAAAGAGGAATGGTGATGGGAGGGGGACCTCAGACTTTCCCACGCCCTTGCATGCACAGAGGACACAAAAGGTGGTTGCAAAATCTACATTGTTTTACACCCACAGCTTCTGTTGTGCAAAGTCTGTTGCAATCATTGCAATGCAAGAGCTCTTTAAATATTCCTCAGTGTCACATTTCACTCTACCGGGGCTTTTTTATCCCTAGCTCTCCAGATTCAGTAAAAATAAGTTAATTTTTCGAACACGGGGAAACAATGTTAATGGAAAACGCAAATCCATCAGACCTTTTCCACAATGTGTTCCCATCGTCAGCCAACAAGCCAGACCATTCACAAACTGACCAAAGCCAGCACTGACTTCTCTTAATTAACAGTCCCTGTGCCCGATGGAAACAAATCAATCGATACGTGATAATGCAGTTCTTTAGTGGTGGAAGAAATGGAACTGGTATAAACCATGGCTCTGTCTGATTCGTATACTGTATACAAGGCACTGTCTTTGAGCCTCAGTTTCTCTTTACAAGATGATGATGAATTGAGTGTTCTTTGTGGCTTCTTCCAGTTTTCACGATCTGTGATTTCTAAGAGGTAGGAAGAGTAAGATGAGAGAGGAAGGGACAAATATCTGTTACGCCCCTGATAAGCACATTATCTTATTTCATTCTCACACCTGCTCTGGGAGGGTATGACTCAGAAACAGAGCCAGGGAATCAAGGACATGTAGGCAATAAGAGGGAAAACCCTACAGTGTGTCCTTGAAAGCTATGCCCTGCCCACTGCATCGAGGAACATGGAGGAGAGAAGAGGAATCTTCAAGACTGCTCATATGTTAGTGTTCACTCTGCTACTCTGGGTAAAGGGACGGGAAACAGCCCTGAAGGCTTTGGCTGGCTGGGCCCTGCACTTGGATCAAGATGCACAGGGAGCTGATGCTGTGAGGCTGCAGGACCTCCTCCTGAATGCCCCAGTGGGGAAGGGACAGCAGCTGTTTCTGGGGAGCTACAGAAGCATCGACCAAAACAGGCAGGGCTCAGCATCATTCAAATGCTCCAAAACAACCGAGAAGGCAAGAAAAATAAGCAACAACTTGTACAAATGCCCGAAACATAGCTCTTCATTCTTAAAATCAGCGAGGAAACCGGCATCACTTTCGACAGCACAGATTTTACTTGTTTGTAGTTGGACTTTCCCACTTTAAGCTGTTTTTCGGGCAGTGAAAGACGCCTTCTTCCTTCCCTCCCTGGACTTTCTGCCTCTCTTCTCCCGAGTGCCTTATGAGAGATCCAGGGAGCTGCCATCGGAGAGGCACTGCTATAGCAAAATCGGTGCAGACCGTGCGTTCTGACCTAAATTTAAGGGTCCCCAGCACTTGTCCGGTATTTGGCATGAATTTAGAGGCCCCTAAAACAGGATAAGATTTAAAATGAGAGAGGTCCAGTTGTAGAATTCTAGCCAAATCTCAGCTCTATCCACACCTAGTTAGAGAAGGTGGAGGAGGGCACAGAGGTGGGTGAAAGGCTCTCCTCTGCCTCTGTCCTCTCCCTGTTCTCTCTCCCGCTCACATACACACAAACATATAGAGTTCATCTATCCATCCTTCCATCATTCACCCTTCCACCCATGCACTTTGTGGTTCTCAACAGAAATTGTAGTTATTGTTAAAATTCAATAGCTCCTCCTGTGAGCTGGAGCTATGGTCCCCTCCTAGAAACCAGGAACTGTGGTCCCTTCCTATGAACTGAAGCTGTGGGTGCCAACCATGAGCCCCGGTTCCACATTGCTCTGTTGGTGGTAGAGCAGATTGGAGAATGGAGTATTTGAGCCTTCTCTGAGTGGCTGTTCTCCCCACAGCCCCCTCCCAGCTAGGGCATGGCAGTGGCTTTCTTTCTGTGGACAGTGGCTTTCTTTTCTTTTGGGCTGGGGAAAGGAGGTTTCTGTCATTTGCAGATTCTAGTCATGAGAGGACTGATTCTCATGAATGACTTCCCACCTCCCTTGATGGTCGGCTGTGATCTTGACTCTCCACGTGGTCCTAGGCACCCAGGCCTTGACATTGGCCCTTTCCCATTCCCAAGAGGTTTTCCATTATTACTATTCCACAGCCCCAGTGAACTTTCACCTGTGCTTTACTGAAAATGTAAACCACCTAGTTGAACTTATACACAGGCTGGGAAGCTAAAATTTTTTTTAAAAATCCATCATTCATGTATTTATATAATTAGCTTCCTTCTCTTCTTCTCCGCCACCCCCTTCTCCTTCTCTCCCCTCCCTCCCTCGTCCTTCCTTCTGTCTCTAAATATACCGTCTCTTTCTTTCTCTACCCCAAACTTTCCCCCTTGGTACATACTAGTGCATCCACAGAGGCAGTGCTGACACCTAACTTTTAGAAGACTGTCTTTGAGAGATACAAGCTCTTCATGTGGCTGGGATTTTCCAACCAGGGTGATTTACACTGTATTTTCCTGAGGGAAGGAAGGCCCAGATTGGAGCCAAATACTTCTGGGGTCTGTACTTCTAGGACCCCAGGAGTATAGCCTGTTCTCAAACAGGATTTGAAAACCATAATGAAAGTCCTCGTGGCCCCTGGGATGATTCAAATAAATCAGAAGACATGAAGGGCACAGTACTTCTGCCTACTAGGCAACCTGGGACTAGAGGAGAGGATTGCTGCTGCCATGCCCAAGCACATACCTACCCAGGAGGCTCCAAACTAGCTCACCTTGATTTTAGATAGTCTGTCTGCATCTTGTGGGCTATTGAGTTAGCATCTCCCACTCTGTAAATATCTGTCCTGTGTACCCCTGACTGCTAGAAATACAGGGCAAAAACATTTTAATATCACTTTCCCCAGTAGCCCATTTCTGGGCAGTAAAATGAGGTTCTATCAGGTTAACCTTTCTCTGTGTCTCTCCCAAATAACTTGAAGAGTTGGTGCCCAGGATAGTTTTCCTTTCATTTTCCAATGTTATGTTATCTTTGTTGTTTCTGTTGTTGGTTGTTACTGTTGTTGCCATTTCATGGCACAATTGTATCTAAGCAGCAGTCCATGGGAGTTGAGACAGGAGTCAAAGACAGAAGCAGAACAGACGTCATCCTCAGTCCTTCAATGCCGGTGTCAGCCATTAGGTGTGGTGGATGTTCATTTCGGTTACCAATGGGAAAAGTTAGGGGATTGCCTATGGGATCACAAGAGGTTCCAACTCCATGAAAAACTTGAACATGTAAGTAGATACATCAAATGTGCACGGGCTTGCGTGCACACACACACACACACACACACACACACACACACACACACACATTTTTGCCCCAGTGTAAGAGCGAGATACATATCCTCCCCTCCAGCCTTTCAACCAGCCACCTTTTTTTCTTTCAGTTTCTAATGTGTGTTCATCACTTGTGCTGAATCCCCATCTTCCTTTTCAAAAAAAAAGGACCAGAGCCCTGTGTTTTCTTGTCCCTGTTTTTATGTTTCAGAAATGAATGGCAGAGCTGTATCAGGGAGGCATGTGGGAGGGTCAGTTGGGGTATCACTTATCATTCTTGGGCATTGCGCTCATACAATGTTTTCCAGCCAGTAGGACAGCAATTGAAGAGCAAGGGCTTAGGAAGCACAGTAGCTACCTAATGTCTGCTGGAAGCCTGTCCAGATTGCCATGCCCATGGGCAAACAAGTTCAAGTTCTTCTTCCCAAATGGGAATAACATTACCTGGAGGAACTGCTATGCAGTTGCAGATATGGTGGTGTAGGTGAAACTCAGTGGCTAATGCCTGGCATCTATTATCACATTAATATCATTTTATTCTTGTTTGCAAGCTTGCAAGCCAGGTGCCTACAGATGTGCTGAAAAACCAAGGATGTTTTACTTCTGAAAGTGTATTTTAGAAGACTCTACTCCTAACAGTTGTCCCATGATTAAAGGGTATCAGAGCTTGGGAAATGATTTTCATCTTAGAGTCTCTGGACCTAATCAAAATGCTTCAGAAGATCTAAGGTCTTGAGAAGTTCTGGGCTAAAGAAAACCCACTGATCTCATTAACCTACTGCTGCCTGCAGAACCCTTGACTCAGGAAGATCCATGAGCAGGGAATATTTTCTTTCCGTAGCAGAGAGAGATAGAGCAAAGAGGCCCCGTCATGGATCTTTAGAACTTCCAAAGAATTTTTTATACACCAATCTGACTATTCTACAAATACCTCAAACTTCACCCTATCCTGGATCTTTGCATGTCTTCTTGATTATGCCTGAACCCCGCTGTCCCTGTGTTTCACCAGATCGTACTTCAGATTTATCTTCCTTATAGATCCTTCCATAAAAGTGTCCTGTTCCTTCTTCTCAAACAATGACCCACATCCTATCATTTTGTTTGAATGGCCTTGCTGTCTAAAGTGATCTCATTGATCACCATGCCTCAGCACATATGCTTCCTCTTTGATCCACAGGGGGATGATAGATACCTTATTTGTCTCTCTGACAGTGAGATACTCAGTGAGACAGTGGTACTCAATGAGATACCAAGTTAGTATCTGCTAAATAGATGAATGGGTGAATGACAGTTCATTCACTGACAATTTTGAGAAGCAAATCAGGTTACTGCTCCCAATTTACAGATGAGGAAACTAGAGCTGGGGTGTTACATAACTTTTAACATTGAGCAAGTGATAAATGGCAGAGCTGCAGCTTGAGCCCAGACATCCCCCACTTACAAACTCTATTTAATTCTAGGAAATTGAATCTTTTGGTTTTTCATTTTCTTATGATGAAGAACCTTATTGTGCACAGGATAAAAGAACAAGTTCCTGTTTTTATATTTATGGGGGGAGAAGCCAGAACATAAAGTCTTCTTTCCTTCTGAGTCCTGATAGAATGGGGACCCTGGTGCCTTCTGGAAGTGAAGAGTGAGAATGTCCAAACTCTAAGGCACTGGTCAGAGGACAGCCTGGGAGCTGGTAGCTTGCAGAGCTAATCTATTTACATTGGAACCATGTGGTTCTTTTCCCAGTGCTTATACAACATGAAGAGCACATCGTTTGGTGTTAAAGCCCATGTGTTGACTCCACAGTCCCAACCTCTCTCAGATCTCCACAATGGTGAAGCATGGGGGTTGTAAGAAGCGAGAAGTGCAGGGAACAGCACACCAAGAGATCTAGGATTCATCTTGTCTAGCGTTTCATTCGGGGTGTATTAAGAGAATGCAGAACCACCTCAGGGAGGTTCTAAGATCCACATGAAATGCTTGTCCTTCTCTTTATATTTTAAAATGTGAATTTGCCTGTCATCTGTTTTGGATTGTTCGTTCCTTAATCTCTTACTTTATTACTCATCATATGTTTGAGCAGTAGAGCAAGAGGATGAATGTCCAGGATCTCTCCCCTGAAAACCTTCTGGGCTGAAACTGACACCAGGAAAGTTGAGAGCATTCTTCTGAAAATGATTTGGCTCAATAATTCCATTTCTTTGATAAAATCAGGAAAACAAAAGCCTTGAGATTCTGGGTGCACCTGGAGCCATATTGGGCATCCTATAAGCCAGATATTGGAATGGACCCAGGCTGAGTGTTTTTCCAGAAGCTCTTGGTGTTGGAAGCAACATCTCAATTGCCATGAAACTCTTACCAATTGCAAGGCACTGCCACCAGCTGTTTCTCTCTATTTAGGCAACATCTGGACACAAGGCATTTTTATTCACAATATAAAGTACACCAGAATGAAATAGGCATTGTTTCTGCACTTAAAAAGTGTTCTGGTTCAAGACTGGAGAGATGCCTCAGAGATTAAGAGCACTGGCTGCTCTTGCAGAAGACCGTGGTTCGAATCCCAGCACCCACATCGCGGCTAATAATCGTCTTTAACTCCAGTTCCAGGGGATCTGACACCTTCGTCTGCCCTCTGCAGGCACTGCATGACACAGGTGCACTTACACAAATCAGATAAAAATAAATAAACCAAAAAAATAAAAAATATTCTAGCTCAGAATCAGTTTTCTCTAGGGACTAGCTCCCTAGGAGGTTATCTACTCCCAAGTAGGCTATAAATACAGGTACATACAACTGCCAATAAATGGACTCAGTGCACTATATATATATATATGTATGTATGTATGTATGTTTGTATACGTATATGTGTATATCTACAAATGTATGATGTTGCATGTATAACAATGACAAAGAAGAGGACAAGAAATTTAGAGGGAGTGGAGTGACATGGGGAGACGTGGAGGAGGGTCAGAATGGATAGACTAATACAAATATGAACTCATGTATGAAGTACTCATGCATGAAATTCACAAAAGTAAAATAAAGTTTAAAAACAAAGAAACAAAAACCCAAATGTTCTAGTTGAGGCCGGTAAGGCAAAGTCAGCAATGAGACATTTAAAGTCACACACCGGGGTGGGAATTTAAAGGGGTAACTTAATCTGGCCAGTCCTCAGTTTTTCCAACTGTTAAACAAATAACACTTAGCTCATAGAATTATTGTGAAGATGGAGTGAGCTCACTTATGAACACTATCAGTGCTTTGTGTCTGCATGCCTATAACACAGCAGGAAAGGTCATGCAAGCCCAGAGGTTCTTTCTCATACGAACACATATTTGGGTATCTGGTGGCCACCTACAGCCTGGACTTCAGATATGTCAAATATGGGGCAACAGTATTAGAGGCACAGAAGGCAGAATGTCTGTGAGGAAGCTTACCTGGGGGTGAAAGGGGGAAAACTTCCTATAGAAGTAGCTCTAATTTGAAGCCTAGGAAGAATTCAAATTGGTCAGAAGGTGGAAATGGCAATCATAGTAAGGTGCAGGCAAGATCTCTGCAGTTTTCCTAGTGATTCGTGAGTTACTTTATAGTTACACTTGACTGCCTCTGCCACTATCTCTTCCACTGAGACTCATGACTCTGTGAAGTTGTATAAGTTTGAAGGTACACTGAGGCTCAGGGAGATAATGCCTTTGCCCAAGCTTCTAGGTAATACAACAGGATGCTTGTTAAGCTACTGCTTGTTAAGGCAAAAATTTGGCTGTATATATTTCCTGAATTAACTGATTCAGTTCTCCCCATGGCTCTTGAAAGTGGGGAATATTAGAAAATACAAAGAGGCTTTCATTGAGTCCAGTGCCTGGCAGATAGGAAACTCAATAAATACTTGCCGTATTCCTAATTATCCCCATTCCCCATCCCACCAATGGAAAAGCTGAGGCTCCTAAAGGCTGGAAACAATAGCATTCAAAATGTTCAAGTAATAGGATTTGAACTCAGTGTTCATTACTTTCATTGTTAATGGTAAGCTTTAACCATGGCTTCCTCCAGAGTCCTTTTATTTTTCATCTATCCACCACCCTTTTTTCAGTCTCAGCCTCCTGAAATTTTGGGGAGGCTCAGCCTTTACCTTCCAGCTTGAAAAGCTGTCTTATGAGGGAAACCCTCTCACCCTCTCATTCCTTCCTCCCCAGCTGTGTGCACTTTGCCTGTCAAGCCACTGATTGTCCAGAACTGACCGTGGAGAATGCGTCTCTCAACTGCTCCAGCAGCGATCGCTACCACGGTGCCCAGTGCACTGTGAGCTGCGAGACAGGTTATGTGCTGCAGATACAGCGAGATGACGAGCTAATCAAGAGCCAGGTATGTGAATGCAGACAGCAGAGACTTTCTCTAGCCAAGGGTGGCTGGTAGGTGTGGAATGGGTTCTCTGCAGAATCCATATCAATATACATCCTCTCTCTGTCTCTTCCTCCTCTCTCTGTCTTCTGTCTCTCTCTGTGTTTGTCTGTCTCTGTCTCCATATGTGTGTGTATGTGATGTACGTATGTATATGTAAACATATGAACATATGCTTATATACATATTTATCCAAAATGAATCAACCAACCATGCAGCCAACAAACAAATCAACCAGGAATCTCTAAGAATATGACTTCAATCCAAAGAATATTGTATGTAGGATACATCAGTGTTGTTACATAGGTTACAGGTCTACACAGCTCTGCAGTGATCACATTGCAATGAAATGCTTACCTTCAAAATTTTTAATAACTGAATGAGCTGTTTTAGGTAGAGAAGAGATCTTTGTCCATGAAGCATTTATTCATTAATTAATTCACTCGTTCATTGTAAATCATCTGTAAAAGACTATATAAAAGTCTGATTATCTTAGAGAAAGAGAAGTCATTAAGACTGAACTAGTTTCTCTTTGTAACTAGCGGAGGAACAGGAATACAGATCATGATCAATACTCTGAAGGGACATGGAGGGTTTTGTGAAAACATAAGGGGAATTAAGGAAACTGCACTGAAAGAAATGATGTGACAACCGAAAAGTAGAGTGACAGATAGAAGCGTATCTTCAGGGAACGAGGCAGAAAAATATGCTCTAATGAAGTAAGTGTGCCACAGAGGGAGTCTGGGTTTCTTCTTCTAAAATCACATAAGCCATGAGGCAAGAGAGTCCATTTGGGTCCACTGGTGCTAGGACTTTCCAGCTTAGTTGCGAAGTTTGAGGTTTATTGTTAGGGCAACAAGAAACTGTGGAAGGGCACAGCATGATCAAATCATGTTCAACAAAGTCCTCATTTGGCTACCTCTACACGTGTAGAAGTCTAAGGAGTGAGACAGGCAACTGACACAACCTTAGGGATGTTGTCAGTGTAGTTCTTGGCGAATGGCATAAGTTCTGCATGGAATTATTCGTCATTAATAGAGATGAGTGATGTGGCAGATGTCGTCTTAGAGACTCAGGTCTGTCAAGGGAGAGTAAGAGAAGTTGGCAACTGTGGGATTTGAGGACTCCAGAGCTGCCTCTAGATGCACCTTTTCCAGGACCCAGCCTGTAGACTGTGTCATCATGCCACAAGCACACAGGGTACATTCTCTATTGCTGGGAATGCCTATTTGTTGAGAACTTCTGGACTTGCTTGTCTTAAACACCTACTTCCGTGTGTCAGGCATGGCAGATCTGAACTCCTATGGAAACAATCAGCCTGCCTTGGCAGTAAGAGACTTCTCCCTTTGATGTGTGCTTAAGAGAGGAAAATGTCCTTTGCTTTCGAAATCCCAAATCAACATTTGGCATCCCCTATCCCCAGTGATTTGGCTGCTTCCTCCTTGAATAGAAAGCTCTGGGCTACCAATGACAGGCCTTCTCTTGGCTCTATAACATGATCTCACCCTTCTTCCTACAGGGTCCTAACATCTTCCAATTCAGTTTAAATCTCTGTCAAATCCTTCAGTGTTCTTAGGTGTGTTTCTTTTCAACGTATCTTGCTCTTGACTAGTGAAATTCTTTCTCCATTGAGGCGTTAAATTTCAAAGTAGCCAGTAATTTATGTAGAGCAATCCCTGTGTTCAATTTATATCACCAGTGGGAGAGCTCAAGGGAGAGAAAGAACCTTCCATAGAGAGACATCATGTCTCTTATATCCAAAGGCAGCGAGCAACTTCTTAGCACCAAACACTTCAGTAGTCTTCTAGTAAACTATTTCTTCTTATTATTATTTTTCCTTGGTCTTTTTGAGACAAGGTCTCCCTGTAGCCTCAGCTGGCCTGGAACTCACTATGTAGACCAGGCTGGCCCCGATCTTGCAGAGATCCACCTGCCTCTGCCTCTTGAGTGCTGGTATTAAAGGCACATGCCATCATGTCCAGCTTCCTAGTAAACTCTTTCAAGGGAAGAAACGGAGACCATTTCCTAGTGTGCTACTATTTAACATGTTTCAGTCTCTTTTTATAATTTTTATTTATTTATTTTTATTTTTATATAGTGCTTGTTATAAGTGTACTATGTGTCTTTAATGTTCACAGAGGTGAGAAGAGGGTGTCAGATCCTGGAACTGGAGTTTCAGATAGGACTGAAATTCAAGAGAGTTTCAGCATATGCATACTGTGAACAGAACTCAGGTCCTCTGCAAAAGCAGCCAATACTCTTTAAGTGCTGAGCCATCTTTCCAGTTTGTCTGTTTTATAAGAAGTCATACCCTGTTAGACCTCTGAATTTCAAGATGCTCATCAACAAAATGAGAATTATGATCTGGGAGACTTTATAGATTGCAGTTAGCATCATAATGTTGGGTTCAAGTCCCACTTATCCTTTTTCTGGGAATAACCTGGGGCTGATCATATAATGTCTCTAAGCTTCCATTTCTGCATGATCAAACAGAGATTGAAATATCTAATTCACACAGTATTTGAGATTATTAAGAATGAGTTTAAGTTAAATATTAAGCATTGGTCCCCTGGTTCACAGACAAAACTCTGAGCTATCACCTGGGGAAGAAATGTATTTCTTCATATCTGACCATTCTGCTATTCCTTATGGTACCAATCTCTGCCTCTCAGGTTGGACCAAGCATCACAGTGACCTGTACAGAGGGAAAATGGAACAAGCAGGTGGCGTGTGAACCAGTAGACTGTGGTGTTCCGGATCACCATCACGTCTATGCTGCCTCCTTCTCCTGCCCAGAGGGTACTACCTTTGGCAAAAGATGCTCCTTCCAGTGCCGCCATCCTGCCCAGCTGAAAGGTATCCTGGGTCCTTTGTCTCAGCCTGGCCCCCATCATCTCTGGGAAACCCACAGGCTGTTTCTAAGCCTCCTTCTGTGTCTCAGAGAGAAAAAGTTAGACCAGGTTGCATCTGCTCCCTGTTTCTTTTTACCAATTGTAGTCATGTGAACGATCTTATTGTGCAGCCAAGGGAAAAAAAATGTGTGCATAAAAATGACAGTGAATTCCCATCAAGATTTTGTAAATCTTTCAAGAAGAAAGACAATCACAAAGAAAGCCAGACTGAATGTCTAACATTCCCTTTCTTGATTCTGCTCTATGATAGTTTCAATTTTTTTTATGCATACACTATGATTTCACATATTTATGGACGGAAACATTGTTTCAATACATGCATAAATTATAATGATCAAATCAGGTTAATTGGTATATCTATCACTTTTAAACTTTTATCATTTCTTTGTGGTGAGAACATTTAAAATCTTTTATTCTAACGATTTTGAACTGTATAATGTGGTGTGAGTGGCTACAGTCACCCCACTGTGTCAGGGAACAGAAGAACTTATTTTTCCTTGAAAGCTCTCTCAAAGAGACTTGGTCCACTGGATAATCTTTAAATGAAAAGTAACAATAACCACCATCATTCTAACATTGCTAAAAGTTGATAGTTCTTTTCATACTTACTAGAGAGTGAAATATTCTTAGCTCCATTTGCACACAGGCTAAGCTACAATCATTTTGCTGACTTTAAAGATGAACAAATCAAATGGCAGAGCCCCACAACTCATGAGAACACAGTGCCTAAAATTTACACTCTTGCACTCGGCTGGTACTGTCAGCCCCAGAAATGCCTTCACTGTGACCTTAGTCATGTTCCCCAGAAAGCAGCCATGGAGGGAGGGATGTGAAGAAGAAAGGCATGGTATTGACAAGACCTTCTAATGATTGTTAATGTTGGAAACAACTAGACCTTGGTCTCTACATGGAAGTTGGAAAGAGAGTATACAACGTCTCTGAGCGGTCAACATTAGCTGGTCTGTCAGTTGGCCACCTCCATCATTGGTTGAATGTTGCTTCCAGGGGCTTCACTCCTTGGTTCTTGGTCCATGTGAGTAAAATATGCATCTGTGATCAAAACCACAAACCACAGTGCTGTGAGCATACTTCAGCATATAGAGCTCAAAGTCAAGGGCACAAAGTGTATTTGCCATACCGTGCTTTCTTTAGAGCCATTTGATAGGAGCAGGTACTGGCAGCAGTTTAGAAACTCTGATCCTGCACAGTCCATCTCTCCATTTTCCCAGTCAGTCATGAGGGTGGGGGACATATCCATGGTCCTGAATCACCAGTTCCTGCTTTAGCCTCCTGATTCTTTGGACACTGGTAACTTCAATTTTCTCTCTCCCAGAATGTATACTTTTAGTTTGCTTCTTCTCTTTTCACTAACATTCTGCATTTTGGTGTTATCTTGCCCCCAAAACTATGTCTTTCATTTCACAATTTACAGTTTTCTTAGCTGATACAATCCCAACACTTTGGCCACAGATATTTTATCACTGTTGAGCAAGTTGGAGAGGGCATGCTCCCTGCATCTTTTAAAGCTCCCCTTGCAGTCAAACTGCTAATGCATCTGGCATCCTAAAGTTCTGGCCACCCCAATCCCAGAAGCAACACAGAAGGGTTTCCTGTCTCTGGTGTTCTGGAAATATTTTTTGCTTTGAAGGAATCCAAACAAATCACTCTTTTAGCCTTTACTCTTTTCATGTAATATGAACATATCTGGTTGTCAGTCTCACGGTTTACAAGTTAGCATTTTCTGTGAGGTTTGCAAATACTAAATTGTCTCATGCCATCCGGATGAATCACATTGACAAGGGAGGGAGTAACAAAAAGTGAACGGAGGGAGGAGAGGCAGAAGAGTATACATAAACTTGTGAAACAATTACCTTACCTTCTTTCTCTTGCTTCATTTTTTTCTGGGTAATACTGATCACCACCTTCTAGAACTATATAACTCACATTTAATGATAATTTCTCATGTTGTTCTCTATCTCATTAGATTATCAATTTCATGTACAAGGTTATTTTTGTCTAGTTTTATTTTGCCTTGCCCCCAACATATAAAAGTACCTGCCACACAATAAGTACTCAATAGATGTTCATTAAGTGAATGAAGGTCTCTGTGCACTTCACATAGTTTTTTTCCAATGTGTTAGTGAAAGTGCAAAGTTGAATGAGAGGGAGGAAGGACATACGTTATTAAGCACAAAAGGCAGTGACAGCAATTTCACGGGCACTTTTCAAGAGTGTTGCTGCATGTAATTCTCCTAGCACTGGAAAGACAGAAATAAGTGTCTAGAGAGGAAAATTGAGTTCTGACTGTCCCAGAGTGGAAAATAAGTTTGCTAAACATATAACCCAAACTCCCACTATTAACATCCATATCTGTAGTTAGACTGGAGTTGGTTTTGAACCTGACTTTTGTCTTTTGTTATTGACATGCTATAAGTACTTGTTCAAGTGACCTTCTTTCCCTCTGAGTCTCTTTTTCCAAAAGAGAATCAACATACTATGCACCCTGTTTATGGAGAGGATAAATGAGACAACATTTCAAAAGCACCCGGCACATAGTAACTTCTCAATAAATGTCAGTCTCATTCCTGTCACTCCCAACCCCTCCCACCTTCAAATCCAGAGACTCCCACGTGCTTCCACTGCTGGTTGTCAACACCATTCTGTAATCACCAGTCAGAGGAGAATCAGTGGAGAAACACCCACTCCAGGCCCTCCTCTAATTTTCTTGGGGAGTGTGTGGGGCAGGCTGTGCCTACATAATACATGAGCTGGCAGTGAAAAGCCTAGCTCCTGGGTTTTACTTGAGTTGCACCGTCCCCCATCAGGCGAGTATCCTGATGGCAATCAGCACTCGGTCAGAGCTGGCACTGGCAGCGGGAAGCACTGCTCTCTCAGCTGCTTTGGCAGAGCTTCCCTGAGCACAGGGGCCTGAACAGAAAAATCAAACCTCCTGATAACATGGTGTTGTCATTCCACGCATGGGGAGACCAGAGGAGTACAGGGGCCCCAGCCCAGAGGGGAGTGGCAGCTCTAGGTCACACAACACACTGTTAGTAGAACTAACAGCTTTTATGTCAGACTCACTATTTCTGGGCAATGCTGCCTACCTGGAGGGTAAAGGGCATGATGGAAGGACTGGGAAGGGATCTTTCCTGTGCAGCATGAGAGGTATAGAATGAAGAGTTCAAACCCTGAATTTTAATTCTGTGTAGACATGGAATAAGCCTAGCTTTCATTTTCTGTCTCCTTCACAGCATCTGTCTTGCACACTCTGTAGATTCTGAGTTGTTAGTGGGAGGTATTGGATCCAACCAGAGTTTCTCGGGGTACTTAAGTTGACTAAAGTCTGGGCAATTTATGCATTATCTCAACTGCCAGGAGCTCATTTCTCCTCTCACCCTGCCTGCCTGTGTCTTCCAGGCAATAACAGTTTCCTGACCTGTATGGAAGATGGGCTGTGGTCCTTCCCAGAGGCTCTGTGTGAGCTCATGTGCCTCACTCCACCCCCAGTACCCAACGCAGACCTGCAGACTGCCCGGTGCCGAGAGAACATGCACAAAGTGGGCTCCTTCTGCAAGTACAAGTGCAAGCCTGGGTACCATGTGCCTGGCTTCTCTCGGAAGTCCAAGAAGTGAGTGGGAACATACTCTCCAGCTCTAGAGAGGGGCAGAGGTGGATCTGGCTACCTCTTTAAAAGAATGCATCCCTGGCTTGTCTACCTCCTTAAAAGGATGTATTCCTGGCTTTGCTGGAGGTCATACCAAAATTTTATCCCATTCTATTCCATGGGAAAGACACAGAACATTAGCTGTGGGGCTCAGTTTTACGGTGTGACCTTAGGCAAGTGCCTTCATTCCTTGGGTCTCCCATTTTTTTTTGTTTCAGCAGAAAGATGAAGATGATAAGTTACCATGTATCATTGTTATGAAGCAAAACAGCTTGCAAAGGGCCTTGCACTAAGTAGTTGCTCTATAATTACTAGATGCTTATATCATCATTATGCTGGGACCCTCAGAACATTCTGGAAGGAAAAGAGAGGACAAGAGGCTAGTGGGAATTGAACTTTGTCCAAAACAACATCTAACTGTCATACCTGCCTGCCTCTGCCTGTGTTCTTCTGCGAATGCAATTTCTTTAATTTCTATTCATGTACCACCCATCTCACAGGACAGGCAGGGGATTGTGAACAGGAAGGGAATGTGAGGCCCCTTGCTGTGTTCAGGGTCTAACCATCTGTTTCTTGGGATGACTTTTCTTTCATCTTCCTTAAAGACGGGCCTTCAAGATTCAGTGTACCCAAGATGGCAGCTGGCAGGAGGGAACTTGTGTACCTGTGACGTGTGACCCACCTCCACCTAAATTTCACGGGCTCTACCAATGCACTAATGGCTTCCAGTTCAACAGCGAGTGTAGGATCAAGTGTGAAGACAGTGATACTACCCAGGTAAGCCCACTGGAACCTGAGATCAGGCCTTCTGCTCTTTGCCTTGCAACTGCTGTCTCCAGGGCTCTTTTTTCACAGCCAAGCTTATGCAATGACAACATCATCATCGCAGATGCCGAGAAGCTGGGCTTTCAGTATCTTCCTTTGTAATCTCTTTAAGCTGTGTTTTTCTCCCCACAACATTCTTATTCAGAGATTCTTAGCTTTGAGCACTTTAAATGAATTGGAACTATCAGACTTTTATTAAGCCATTATTACAGAAAATCATATGTGGCATTCTAGCATGTGAACCTGATCAGTTTTGTCATCTGATAGTAGAGACCAGGCTTTTGCTAGCTTTCTGCCACCATCATTACTCACATTGTCCTTGTTGCATTTAAGAACATGAAACACTATCTTTAGGCATCAGTTGACTCCTGAGACTTGCAGAGAGGGGGCTCTACAAAGGTTAGGAGAACATGTCTGGGGACAATGTGGAAGAACAGGCGGATAGAAGTGTCACTGTGGCTTCAATTTCTTCTTAAGTCACAAGTGACTGAAGCAGAGCCCAGCACTCTTGCCTACCTTTGCTGAAGGAATTCTCTACACGCAGCCTCTGCCACCCAGTAGGATAGGAAGGGGAAGCTAAAGAAAAGTCCAAAAAAGAAACCCAACAGTGCACAGAAGCCCTATCTTTATAGAACCTACTACAGATCATTGACAGCCTAGCCCCGTCATTCACAAGTGTGCAAGAATCACCAGCCAGGTGAAGCTGGAATATAGTTGGCCGGACATGATGTGGGTTGCAGTTGTTACTGGTCTTTATTGCTCAGTATGAGCCTCCTAATACTAGACTCTGCAAAACTAACATCCTTAAGTCCTTTCCTTTCCACACATCTAAGCAATTCTCAAGTTCTATTCCTTCTTCTGCCAAAACACTCAAAGCTGTTCCCTTCTGTTCTCAAGGCCACCACCTTTATCCAGGCCACCATCCTCTCTTTCCTGGCCACCAGGCAGCTTCTTGATCATGCCTGCTCCTATCACCTCAAGCTCTTCTGAACTACCATCATCTGGCTCCATTGGGATAAAATCCCAACCTTTTAGGGCAGGACTCCTGCACCCTGGGAAGATCCAGCTTTCCTGCCTGCTCTGTGTCTGTACCTTAAGCAGTTCCCTCATGTGGTCCCGTTGCCTGACTCCTCCTCCTTCACCCTATGACCAGGAACCCCTTTCTCTAAGAGCCCTTTGTGAAAGTCCCTTCCACGCCTGGCCAGTGCTCCTCTCCGGGTTACCCCTTCTCAGTGTCAGCCACACTACTATAATTTTCTGGTTTATTTCATGGCATTCCCACATCAGGCTGAGAAGACTTTCACTGACCTATTGTCCCTGTGCCTTCAGCACTTAGGACAGTGCCAGGCACCTAGTAGGTTCTCGAGAGTGACAGTTTCATTAAGAACATGAAAAAAAGCTGAAGTATATACCAAAGCCAACTTTGTTATTTCTCAGATGGGAAAAAAAACAAGGCTCAGAGAACTTATTCAACCCACAAAGTAGTAGAACTGACACTGGCTGAGTTGGTGCCTCCTTTGCGGAGAACCTGAGTGTAGTTGATATCACCTCCAGATAACATGCACTCACCGATATCTGTGTATACCAGCTAGGGTGCTGGTACTCTTTCCTTGGAGTCATTCCAATTCCCTAGCACCTAGGAAGCAGGAGCCAGTATGTCAACAAGTAGGGGTCAGGATTATCACGGCCTCTTGCAGGCTGACCAACGTCCCTCTCACTCCCTTACATAAAACTGTTGCTAACAGTTACCCAAATTGCTGAGCCAAATAATATTCTGGCCATGGCCAAGTTATCAAACTGAAACCCAGTCTGCCTGGGACCTGCCAAGTAGCTTTCATGGGCAGTTTGTATTTAAAAGAGAGGAAAATGTAAATTTATCAGAGGACTGGAGTGTTGCTGTTTGGCAGTGGGTGGAGAGGCTAGACTCGAAGGAGCAGGGTAGGGCTTGTCAGCTGAAAGAATGAGGGTAGGCATGCCAAACGGGCTCCTAACACAATTGACGTTTCTAGTTTGTACTGAGAATGAATTTCCTCTACCCTCAGACCAGGGGCCTGAGAGCCAAAGCTAGTGTTCACCTCAGATCCCCTCTCACTGCCTGTAAACACAGCAGGAGCACACAGCCTGGGCTTCTTGAATCCCACAGCTTGTATGGAGCAGAGATTCTTTGCTTTCCAAACAAGTTCCAGGTCCTGGCAGGGAAAGACAGAGGCTACTATGGGGCGAGTCACACACTCCCACCACTGCCACAACTGGCAAAACTTAAAAAAAAAAAAAAAAAGCCACAAATTCCTCCATTGAAGCCAGTAGGATATAGGATCTGAGTTCAAATGCTAACTTCACCACCCCCTGCCTGAGGGACAAATCATTTAACCCTTCAAGCTTCCATTTCTTTGTGTGTAATATGTGGAGAAATAATACTGCCTGCCTCCCAGCTCATGAGTGAGGATTCAATGAGGTAAAAGCAGCAAGGAGTAGATGCGGGTACACCTGGAGTTGTGCAGTGCAGTCTATGCTACAAACATTGACACCAGGGAGGAAGACTCAATTGGACTAGCTGGCTTTTAAGGCCATTCCAGTGGAGAGAATCCCTGAGCAAGCTCCCAGAAAACTTAGGAGCCTAGCTCAATGCTGGCTAGCCACCAAAAGTCATAGAAGTGCACTTACCCATCTTAAGGCTAAGACGTGGTGTGGGAGACCAGTGTGAGCTGTCTGCAAACCTCTTATCTTGCCCAAATAAACCAGTAGAATAAATGGTCCTCTAGTCCCTCTAGAACTTTTTGCTATGATGAGAACATCTCATATATGTGTCATGCCTCCAGCCACATGTGAAGTACTTGAAATGTGGTTATAGTGGCCAAGTCATTAAATATTAAATTGCACTTGATGTTAAATAATTTTTAAAATGTTAAGCTGAGCACGATGGTGCATGCCATTAATTCCAGCACCCAGGGGTGGAGACAGGAGGATTAGTAGTTCAAAGCCAGCCTTGGCTAAATAGTGAGTATGAGGGTCAGCCTAGGCTACATGAGACATGAAACCTTGTCTCAAAAACTGTTTTATTGTGTAGATTTGTTTATTTTATTACTTATTTTTAAAATATTTTTATTAATTCATTGAGAATTTTACACAGTGCATTTGGGGCATACTCAGACCCTCTCCCCCTCCCCACCCCACCTTCCCGCTGTCCCAGCTTCATGTCCTCTATCTTATTTAAAGGCCTATTCAGTCTGATTTTTGGTCTCCAAATGCTGTTGGGTGTTATTATTATTTTTTTTTTATAGTGTCTTCCAATGTAGCCCAGGCAGGTCTCATTTGAACTTACGGCAATCTTCCTGCCTTGGCCTTCTGAGTATTGGGATTCTAGGAATGAGCCCCCACCCCCAGCTCATTATATCAAATGAAAACGTAAACAGTCACACTATATCCACTGTATAGGACATCTTAGTTCTGACATTTATGGTGTTCTTGTTTCTCCAAACCAAGATGGCAACCCTAAATAATGACAGCTTTCCTTTTCCATCTGAGGGTTTTATAGGTTCCAGGCTGGTATTGCAGACTTTCTTTCATTCTGATAAAACTCAAAGCAAATACCTAAAAAGAAATCTTCTCTGCATTTTACAGATATAGAAAGAAGGCCTGATGGGGGCTATCTTTGTCCACAACTGGCAGATAGTAAGTGGTATTGTGTCTCTTCAGCTGTGTTCTTCCACCGACCGCCCCCCCCCCAAAAAAAAGCCATTCACATGGAAGGATGGCAGCAATGATCACAGATTCTATACCCAGACAGCTGCTGAGAAGTGCTAACTGCCTCCAGATCTAATCTAACTTAGAAGATCCTGAGTGTGTGAGATCAATCAGGCCCAGCACCCAGTGACAAGTTCTATAAGAACTTTGCACAGATTAGGGGAACAGTCTTTGGATAGGGACAGGTCTCATGGAGGACCCTTGGAGTAGGAGGGAACAAAGGCTAAATACGCTTCATGGACCAAGCAGTGCACTTAATAATGGGTTCAGCCACTAGCAGGAGCTGAGAGGAAGGACAAGAGCAGAATCCAAAACATGCTCAGTCCCTTGTAGGGGAGATGGTGGGCAGCTGTGCAAGGCTTTTTGCTACCTCTGACCTGGGGCTGGCCCCTGTCCACATGAGCTCTGCTGTGGGTGGAGCATAGCTGTATGGGTACGGAAACTCTGAAGACCATGCCAGCACCTTCTTTCAGAGTTAACCATGCACCAAGCACCTAGGACAACCTTGAGAGAATGAGGAAAATCACAGAAGCACATGCCATTAGAGTTTGGCCGAAGCCCAAGGACCTTCACTGCAGCCCACTTAGTTTATGCATAAGTCCACTGAGGCCCAGAAGGGAAGCCGCAGCAGAGCCAGATCTTAAGGCATATCACAACACAAACCACACTTTAAACTCGTCTTCACTGCTCAAGCCACACCAACTCCATATGTCTGCTTCTCACTGATCATGCCACGAAAACCTGCAGCATCAGCAACCCTGTCCTATTCTACACATGCAGACACAGGAGATCAGGGAGGGGAAGGATTCTGCTCCATATTATACAAGTAAGACATGGTGGACCCAATATTCAGTGACTGAAGCTCATCCCTCAGTCTCCTGTCCCTTGCCACGTGGCTCTGCCCATGCTGATGCTACTCGCCGCTCTCTGTCATGATTTGGCTTATTGTGTCATCTACCTGTTGTCTCTCCTCCCCCTTTCTTTGTCTCCTGCACTGTAGTGAAGACATTGGGGATGTATAATCAAGGACTGGAATGTGGCATCCACCACCTGTGACTGTCTGTTGCCTCCTCTTTTTGGTTGCTGCCATTTTTGAAAAACACTGTTGGTTGGCTTGATTTCTCCAATTTCCTTGAGACAACACAGCAGCACAGTTAAGAGCCACGGCTGTCATACAGCTCTGTGTGTGCGTATTAGGTCTTAAATACTTCCATGTATTGACCACCTGGTCTTCACGAAGACCCTTTTAGGCAATGGTCTCATGCCAACTGATCAACGGAGGAAACTGAGGCACAGAGAAGTGAAGAAGGTTCACACATCTTGGGGCTGGAGAGATGACTCAGCAGTAAGGAGCTCTGGCTGCTCTTGTAGAGGACCTGGGTTTCATTCTCAGCACCCACATGGCGGATAACAACCATCCATAACTCCAGTTCCAGGGGATCAGTTTCAGGCTCTCTTCCATTTCATGTATGGGTGCATCACTGTACTAAGACACATGCACATGAAGCACTCACACATAAAATAAAAATAAATCAAATCTAAAAATAAAATAAAAATAAACCACTTCTTCCGTTCTTCACTGAGCCTCAATTTTCAAATTTGGGAAAAGATAGGGTTTCTAGTCCACTCAATAGTTTAAATGACCTTTTAAAACTTTGAATATACCATAGTTTTCAATAACATAGTTGTAAATACCTTCAACTCTGTCACTCTCTTAGCTAAAGACTTAGGGAAGCTAAACAGAGTACAATATGACTTTACAGAGAGATGCATAGGCACAGAGAGGCCTACAGTTTAGGTTAAGGATGTTTGGGTTAAGCTCTTATGGGGGATTTTACCTTAGCAGGTGATGTGTATTTGGAACCAAATACACTCAGATGGCAAAACTCCCTGAAAACATCCACAGAAGTGATCTCTCATCTTCTCAGATTGGATCTCATACCACACTGGACCCTCCTTGCTCAAATTAGGCACAGCAGCCAGAAAGAACATCCTCTGTCAGGTAGTGGGCAAGTGTTCAGCACAACAGGAAGTGTTCCTAAGAGAGTCCCGAGCATCTCTAAGTGCCAGAGAGACTGCTATATGCAGGGCAGAGAACAAAAGTGTGAGGTAGGGAAGCCAAGGAGGCAGGCAGGAGAGAGGAGGTATTCATCTGACTAGAGGTAAGGCCATGTGCATAGCAAGAGGTAGACTAGCCGTGTATTTGAGTTCCCCTACGGAAGCCCTAGAGGGCTAACCCATGATCTTGCCTTGTTCTGAAGGCTAAGGTGTCTTAGTAGGTGAGTGATACCATATTTTAAAGGCAGATTTAGTGACAAGCCAAGCAGGTGAGAGAGACAGACAGACAGACAGACAGACTCTAGAGGCAACAAGACCAAGGGCGCTATGTTCCCACCTTCCACGGTGAAGCTTCCAGCTTTGAAACTCCTTGAGAAGATTCCAGATAGCTCTAATACATTCTCTGCTGCAAACCCAGTTCCCCAGCCAACTCTGGCCCATGTAGTGCTGAGGTCTGCAGCCCTTCAGAGGCTGGAGGCCAAATGCATCATAGGCCCAGGCCAAGGATCCAGGAAATCGGGGTCAATTTCCTACTCCCCTGAGGGCCCAGCAGAATCATGGGGCTTAGAGCTTGGGGCTCTGCAAGGGAAAGCCTAAGTTCTCTGAAGCCATATGAAGCTGGATGAGCTTGCCACAGCAAGCCACTGAAAGAGGCGCTGTAAGACTTCTCACATCTCAGATGGACCACTTTCTCCCATGGGCAGGGGGTCGGCGGCTTCCTCCATAATAGTGCCCACCTCCTACTGGCTCAGGACAGTCTTTCTCTTCTGAATCTTGAGTCTATGCAGCTGTTTTCCTGAAAGACAAGGCAGCTTCAGATTTTTCAGTCCTTTCACATTTTATCTCACAGACATTCATTGTTTATTTCCTCATTATTCATTCATTTCTTCATTCATACCTTTTTTCTTTGGCTATGCATTCATTTATTTCCTACTTATTAAAAACCATTCTCTACTTATTCACCTCATCTTTAGTTAAGCAAACGGTCTTGAATGAAGAAAAACACAGAGAGGTGAATGGATAGCTAAGTGGTTTGTGGTGGTGAAAGGCCTAGTGGACACAGGGATGAGTCGGGCACAGTGCTACCACTTCCAAGATTCTTGGGCAGTTGTGAGATGAGGTGTGATGGTTCTTCACTGGTTCTGGAGTAGAATTCAGTCTCCCGAAGCCAGCAGCAAGATCCACACCTCCCTTGTTTCATGCCCTTTAGTCCTCTCTTGAGTTAGACTCAGATCTGCACCTGCCTCAGCTGTGCTCATGACACTGTTTTTGTATTTGCACACGAACTTCTCTTTTCCAGAATGTCCTCCCATTCCTTTTCTGTCTCTCCGATCCCCACGTGACATCTAATCTAATACTGTCTTGGAGGTTGAGTGAAGCTTAGAGAAAGGTTTGTGTCTTCAAGCTTCACTTACCTAATTATTCACAGAAGACTGAGGAATAATCTATTGCTTGCCTTAAGGAACTAGGGAGAGAGAGAAATATCTCCTCAGTACCATCTTGGTGCCATGATGACTAGAAGTGCCTTGGAAAAGAAAGCTTCTCACCTAAGCACAGAGAGTTAGGCTGCTTTCTCATGGACTGAGAAGCAAGGTATGGTACATACCTGCTTCTTTATGCATAGGACCACACACACACACACACACACACACACACACACACACACACACACACGCACACACGCTCTTGCTTCTTATTGGCTGTTTAAGTAGGGTAGCTGATGGGCTCCTGAACAAAACAAATCTAAGCTGTTATTATTCCAATTAGAATTTCTCAAAGACCATTAAACTAGAAATTAGGAAACCAGGGAGTTAAGATGTCTGGAAAGCCTGGGGCAAGTTCTTCGTCCTCTGAGTCCTCAGTTTCTCCATCTGTAAAATGAAGATGTTAACAATACCTCTCTTTCAAGATGATTAAGATTTGGCCATTATTAACTAATTGTTTTATAACAACATTTAGAGCTGTGGGAAAATGATGACTCTTAATTTGAGAGGAATGCACTTTGGATACCTGGGGTCTATCTTGGTCTTAACTATGTTTCTCTGGTGTTCAGGGACGTGGAAGCAACATCATCCACTGCCGGAAAGATGGCACCTGGAGTGGCTCCTTCCATGTTTGCCGGGAGATGCAAGGCCAGTGCTCAGCCCCAAACCAGCTCAACAGTAACCTCAAACTGCAGTGTCCTGATGGCTATGCCATAGGTACGATTCCTCATGGGAAGCATTGGGAAGTGCAAGTCATCCAGGAGCTGAAGCTAGCGTCTGGGTAGGCCACTTACCACGTGTCCATGCTAGACACTGCTCAGACAAGGAGACAGAGAAAGAGGCAGACCCTATTCTCCCACCAATGGAATCAGGAGGAAGGATCCTGATGACACTGTGATGGGTGAATGTGAACAGTCGTAGTACAAAAAAAAGCCATCAATTAGCAATCAATTAGAAAGCCCCCAGAAGAAGTGATGCTTACCCAAGGATTTGTTGCATCTTGTCAGGCGAGAACTGGTATTCTGAGGAGAAGAGACTGAAGCCAGGTAACCAAAGAGCAGGAGCCATGGTAGCATACATTGTGTTTACAGAAGTCGTCAGGATCCAGTGTGGCTGGTTTTACTATGAATTGTAAAATGTGCATCATACAAAACAACCATTTGCCAAACCCTGCACCCATAAGGGTACTGTCTTTACACATCTTTATATACTGTAACTAGGGAGACAATAGAAACTTCCAAGGTAATGGAATTGTCTCAAGTCCTGAGGTTTAACCTCCTCTAAAGCCAAAGCCTCCTCCACATCATCCTGGCTGCCTCCAGAGGATAAATGGATTTTCGAACATTTTATCTGTGTGGTGATAGCCAGCTTGAGAAATACATGCAATGAGGGGAGAAAACTGAGTGTTGCTTGGTAGAACCCAGATTCTGGGACAGAGGCACTTATCACCAGCTCTGTGGCTTTATGGGGAACTCAGAGTACATAGAGCTTGACCTCATTTAAGGGCAGTGATGCTGACCTCTTGAGCTGATTCCCTAATTGACCATGATGAAAAGCCCAGGGAATTGAATGTCCTTACTCAGAGCCAGTGAGATTTATGGGGCCATTGCCAAGGCTGTCTGGTGCAGAAGGTCATCTGAGCATGTACATAGCCAACATGTTCTTTACACAGCATACTGAGAGTTGTTACTACATGTCCAGAAGCTAGGCTTGGGGTTAGGTAGAGGAGGTGCCTGGGGACTTTCTACCTCCTTTTGAAGATGGAAACACATAAGCTCAGTTAGAAGATTTTCTTTGAAACTTAAAGCAGGTACCAGCACTCTTGCATTGTTTTGGCCACGGTGGTTACTGCCCCCAGGGTCAGAAGATATCGAAGCACACAGTTGCTCTCTCTGATTAAGATGTTACAGAACCACCAATCTAAGAGACCCTGGCCAAGAAGAAAAATGTAGACAAATGTGAGCCTGTGAAGCTTGCCCACATTGTCATTCAAGGTATTTGTGGCAACAGGTATCTCTGTGGTCTACAACCCTGGCTGCTGTATTGCAAGGCCAAGCCCTCCTTTTCTCTATCATTTCTGATGGGTTTCATGTCTCTGAATATACCCATCTGGGAACAGTCTAGAGACAGAGGAAACAGTGTGTGGTGGTGATATTTATTCACCCAGTGGGGCTTTTTCGTGGCCACAATGGGAAGGGAAAGAAATCTGTATGGAATCAATATTTGAGTTCCCTTCCTGTCCCCTCAAACCCATGTTTCCGGCTGTCTGGATGCCCATCCTATGAATACAGTAACCTGGGGTAGTTGATCTGGTGTGTGTGGTGGGCTGGGGGGAGAGCCCCTGAGAAGAAAAGTGAGAAAGAAAATGAAACATGAGGAGACTGACAGAGAGAGAGAAAAGGAAGGAGGAGAAATGGCTTGCCTCCTCCACCTCTTACTTCCCTGGGTCCTTCCTCTAGCCTCAGAAAGAACCCTTCCCTAAGGGAATCTCCCTTAACTATAAAGAGGAGTTTTGTCAGAAGTCTTGTAACTAGGCAAGTTACGTCCTAGACTTGGGGTCGAAGGCCCCCCTGGAGTTACTTAGACCTGCTCTTGGTCTTGCTTGGAGCAACCTGGGGAGCTTGTGCGACATGAGTGAGCTCCAGAGAAGTCACTCCTCTCCAGGGAAGAGTAGGCAAAGGCTTGGTGAGCTCACCATTCTGTAATGACGCCAAGTGTGGTTCATATATCACAACACAGCAGCCTGGCCCTCAGCTCCACAGCCTGGCATTGAGGAGAGGAGCCAGAGGAGGGAGGTTCAGGAGAAACAGGGAGGGAGGAAGGGAAAGAGAGAGAGGAAGGGAGGAGGGAAGCAGAAGAGAGAGAACCTCCTGTAGAAGACAGCCGGTTTCTCCTGTCCTACTGTGTTTTGTCTTCCTTCCGCCTCTCTTGGACTAGACTGGCTTTGTCTAATATACAAAGGATGCAATTTTTCCACAACAATTTTATCATTACAGCCTTGCCTAATCCCTGAAAACTCCTTCAGATTGGATCCCTTGACAGCACACATCACTTTCCTTCACAGCTTAGTGATGCCTGTCCCCTTATCCTCTTCAGTCACCGTTTTCCTCTTCTGCTTTCATTTTTTTGTTTCTACTGTGGCCCTGCACCCATCTCTGTCCCTCTTAACTGGCACTTTTCTCTTCATTCACCCTATGGCTATGCTTCAGCTATCAGTAGTCCTAGAAGTTAGAGAAGTTAGGAGAACTGACGTGATATGTATAGATGGTCTTTTTGAGGCAGGGTCTCCCTGTAGCTCCAGCTGGCCTGGAACTTGCTATGTAGATCAGGCTGGCCTTGAACTCATAGAGATCTGCCTACTTCTGCTTCCTAAGTGCTGGGACTAAAGGCATGAGCCACCATACCCAGCAGGATGTATGTGTTTTAAGTCAGGGGTCTCCGCTTCCCAGCTTTGGAGGGTGAGCTCTGTGTCTTTTGACTCTCTCGTCTGTGAAATAGGTATGATAACACCTGTCTCACGGTTCTAGATTTGCAGGACACTAAAGTGACATAGGAAAGCCTCCAGGAAAAAACAGGAACATCTTGTTTTCTGAGCTCAGTGTCCCAATTTTTAAAATGAAACTGTTGTGTATTTTGATGTCACCCTGCAATTGCCCCTGTTTAAACTGATGAGTCTTTGAGACTGAAGAGGATAATAGGATCATAACAGGGAGGAGTTCACTGGACATGTAACATGCATATATATACACATATGTATGTTTTGTGTGCATATGTGTGTGTAAAAATATGTATCTATGTGCTTACATATGTACACGCATTGTGTGTGCCTGAAGGGAGTGTGAAGATTGGTCAGTGAAGAATTGCTACTTCATGGAAAGATTTGGGTCATTCTTTCTGCATTGTTTAGAATTCAAAAGGAGGTCTGGACACAATGATAGAGGAAGAAACTCCTCTGGACCTGGTCAGATTTTAATAATTTTTTGTTGTTGTTTGTTTGTTTGTTTGTCGTTGTTGTTTGCCTACATTCATGAGTACCTCTTTGGAATCATGAGGACGTACAATGAAATAGGCTTCATTTTCAGGAGACCTCACAATGTGTATGGTCAGAGTAGGAAATGAAGAAGGCAAATTATACTCAACTTGCCAAGCCACAGATCTACCCAAAATCCTCTGTGCCAAGGGCTTCTATAAAACCTTGCTGATCATCTTCCCCCACTGACTGCTTCACATTTTATCTCTTCACCTACTTAGCTCATCATCCACTCATTCACTTATGCCTCACTTCCTCCTTCATAAGATACTAGAAACCTATTCATCATTATGTCTATTAATACCCTCATTCACTCACTTATACCCCCATCCTATGAGTCCCTCATTGTTTCTTTTACTCATTTCACAGATTTCATTTCTTGAATACCTACAATCTGAAATATGCAGCTCTAGACCCTGGGCATAGAATGGGGAACAGGGACAGTGGTCCTATGGAGTTATGATCCAGCAGGGAAGAGAGCTATTTATAGTACAATCATCAGGCAAGTGGGAGATAACAATGTGACAGGTGCTATTTTGGTTGCCTGTGAGGGGCTTGGCCTTCCCTGGGCAAGTGGCACTTATACCCATGTCTGGGTATTACTAGTAGTTTTCTAGTGCAACTCACATGGGAAGGACCTGGAGAGGGCAGGGATGAACATTCAGCACAAGCATAGCATGGGGACTAAGAAGATGCACATTCACTTGATCAGTGTTCGTGAAGCTCTCCCACAGTTCCAGGCACTGGGCTATGCTCAGAGATGAGTGAACCACACCTTGCTTCTCCTAGATCAATACTCCAACTGTGGAGAGGAGACACAGGAGAAACAACACTGGGGAGAGACTAATCAATGCCAACAGACTTACTTAAACTAGTAGGCACTCAGAAGTGTGCTCACTCAGCTCCAGAAACTAGGGCTGACATCATGGAGCATTTGAGCTGGTTCTTGAAAAACTGATAAGATTTAGTCATGAAAAAGAAGTTGGGGGTATTTTAGGGAGATGAGGCAAATGGGAAGAGCACTCAGACATGGGAACCTGTAGGACCTATATGTTTTCATGAAAAAAACAAGTACCATTGGACAGACCAAGGTATCAAGGTGTTGGTTGGAGGAGGGAATGACTATAGGACCATGGGAGGTACTGAGTCAGAAAAGGAGAGTTATCTTGTGGGGATCATTGGACAGTCTGTCTGGTGGAGTAAGGCACAACCAAACTAGGCTCTGGGCCAGTGACTGTGACAATAGCTGCTAACTGGATCAGAGACAAGTGGGTGGAGTCAGGGAAGTCAGGGGTGACTCTGCCAAGGGAGCTAGCACTCCTTCCCACTGACTCCAGGCACAGCCAAGTCCACTGGGAAGCAGAGAACAGCAGGGCCACGCTGAGTATGGTGGCTTAGGAGTGCTCAGAGATGGAACTAAAGAGCCACTTTGTCTTATGCTCTCCCTCAGGGTCAGAGTGTGCCACCTCGTGCCTGGACCACAACAGCGAGTCCATCATCCTACCAGTGAACATAACAGTGCGTGACATTCCCTATTGGATGAATCCCACGCGAGTAGAGGTGAGTGGCCAGGGCCGCCTATCAACAGCTAAGGGAGAAGAAAATGTAGTTGTTGAGCCTGGCCCCACCCAAGTTCATCCTTGTATCTACATTATGTCATTTAATCACCATGCCTGCTCTATAGGGTATTTATTCACAATTTTTCATCTGCAATTATTTAAGGCATCTCATCCGGTTCTGTGATCTGGGCCTTGTATGTATCATCCCAGTGAGTGTTGGTGGCAGCCTAGGGATAAGAACCATAATGTCTCTGGTTCACTCAGGAGGAAGCCAAGGCAACAGGTGTACACTGGTAGAGAACGTAGAACTGGTTCACAGTCTAGTGTCTAGTGTAGTTCGTAGCCATCAGGATGGGGCTATTTGCTTCTCTAGCAACCTCCACGTCACTATACTTTATGAAGCCTAATTCTCTGGCATCTTTTCCATGCTTTACTTCTTTGATGGAATGCAACCAATCTGGGACATTCATGACAAGGATCTAATCAGGTCTGTTGTTTATGGAGCACACACTGTGTTCTGGGACATAGAGCTTTGCATACACAATGACTCAAACCTCAGAGAGTGATATGTGTACTTATGGATCCTGGGGTCTTGCATGTCCTAATGGACCCAGGGTAAGGGCTCAAACCCGAACATGATTCAAAATACTGAGTTTCCCATGATATCAGGTTGGCAGGCCTGGCCAGGTGACAGGGGAGACCCCTGCCTGGTGACATCCCATGGCACTGAGGACAGGCATTGGTTCTTGGTGATATGATCAGTTGGGGTTTCAGAGCTGATGTGGGACCCTGCTCTCATCTGCCAGGGAAGCATGATTCCAGGGCCTCATGGATCCCTCTGAGAACTGATTCCTCACCTTAGAGAAGTGTATGGGAGCAGAGGGCAGGCAGGCAAGACTCAGCTGAATCTCTCTGTACCAGCTTTTCTGCCTGGGATTCTGGGAGCTGCTGTCTGCCTGCCTACTGCAGATTGGGCTCTGGATAGCTTGGCAGAACTTGATACAGGGTGTACTGTTTCTCAAATGAGCTGAGGGAACCATTTCTCCAAAGGCTTACTCAGCCCTCTAAGGCATGGGGACTTGGCCAGACCCTTCAGCTACCCCATGCATACCAGTGTTCACGCCCCCACCGCTCGCTTTCTGCTCTCTTGCCTTGACCTTTGTCTTCCCAACGTCATTTCCTTTTACCCTACTTCTGTTTTTAACTCTTCCTACTTCTCTTCTCTCTTATCTCTTTCATCTTGTTCGGCCTCCCCTCCAATTCCTCCTCATTCACCTTCTCTGAATATACACAGGATGCCCTGATTCCCTAACCTTAGACTCCATCTATTTCCTCCACCTCATGGTGACTTTCCTCATTCTTAACCAAATCCTCTAAGGAATTCTCCTGAATGCCCCAGGGTACACGGTTGTGCCAAACACATACATAGCAACAGCCACCAAATCTGCTTGCATGTAAGAATCCCTGGACACCTAGAGGTCACCCAGATGATCTGCCTGTAGACCAGAAAAACTGAGGATTACAGATGGAGGGACAGGTCAGAGTCACATAACAGTGCAGCTTGACCTACCAGTCAGGATTCCAGACTGATAGCTCTTCCCATGCCCCTTCCCCCATCCTACCTCCCACATGCTTCTATAGGTAAGTGTCATTCTATACAGGAGACCTCCCTGCCACCCCAGTACCAAAGGTCTTCCTGACTTGGCCCAGTTCCAACTTAAGGTATTTTCCTACTAAATGAATTCCCAACCTTGCCTCTGTGAACCCGGGTCACTAAAGAGTTCAGTTGTAATTCATTGTGAAATAAATCCAGGGATTTGAAAGTCCACAAACTGCCCCTCCTTGAGTCGCCCACCCGCTGCCTGCCTGTTACAGCCCCCACCCACTTCCCTGGTCTGCCTGCCTTTATTGATGCTGGCCTACCAAGAGAACCATAACGATGTTCAGACCTACACCAGTCTCTGGAGGCCTCATTATCCAGGAGGAAAAAAAAAAAATGTAAAAAAAGGGAGGAGGGCGAAGGGCATAGATTGATGACTTCCAGGAATGAGGCAGCAATGCTGGTCTCTGCTGCACCCTTACCCCCTGTGCAATGAGAGCTGCAGAAACCAAGTTGCTGGTGCAGACGTTTCCAAACCCAGGAAGGTCTTGGATGGCTCCTAGGCCTTCTAAGAGGTAGTTCCATGCAGCAGTGTGAGGAGGTTGGTGGAAAAATTAGGCTATGTTCCAACTTGGCCACCTTTGCCCCAGGGAATAGAGAATGTGAGAACAGAACTGATATTTAATGGATGCCTGTTGTAAACAGAACTTCCCACCCACCGTTCACCCCCACCGTGCATACATGCATATATGCACCCCTATAAAGTAGATGGACTTCGGCTCCTCGGGTTTCCAATGAGGGAAATGGAATCTCAGAGATAAAAGTCACTTGCCTAAAGACCCCATGCAGGTCCCAATTTATTATAGCCACCCCTGTAGGTCCAATAGAGTGCAAAGTCATAATTACAAAGACAAAGCATTTATTGGTTGTTTGCCAGAGATGTGCTAGCAAATGTTTAATATGCAGGTCTATTCTCTCTATTTTCTCTCTCTCTCTCTCTTTCATTTGTAGCATTTTCCCATTTCCCTGGTGTAAATACTCCACCATGGAGCCAAGGCTCAATGCCTGTCAATCACTGAACACCACGTTGGGAAGACACAGGCTCTTGTGGCCCTCTGGAACCCATGCAGCCCACCATCAACAGTTGTGACAGACTCTAAGCACTATGTGCTTATGTATCTATGTATATTACGACTGTGGATAGGTGGAATGTCAACACTTAGATTATACATAGTAATCAGTGCACTAGAGCTGGGAGCTTGAATGGGCAGGCTCACAGTCCTCTTGTTCACTACGGTTCCTCCCTCAGTACCCGGCACATAGTTGCTGCTCTGTACCTAATATTTATGGATCCTACATCAGGTGACCAGGGTACGATCTAAGACCTGTGCTATGGTTTGAATGTGAAATGTCCTCACAGTTGGTACCCATTTGTTTGCACTGGTTTTAAGGTTGTGGAATCATCAGGAGACAGAGCCTAGCTGGAGAAAATGGGCTGATGGGGAAGGTAGGGGCAGGATTTCAAGTATATGGCCTGGCTCTTCCTTAGGGTCTGTGTTTTATAATTCACCAAGAATGTGAACCAGTCGCCCTTTGCTCCTGGCACCATAGAGTCGCCTCCATTGCCTTCTTGTCATGATAGGCTACATGACCTCATACCAAGTAAATCATCTCATAAGTATGTTTTTGTCAGGAATTTTGTCACAGCAATGAGAAAGGTAAGTAATACAACGTAACACCTTCATGGAGATGAACTGGAACAAATCCTGTTGCTTCCGTAGGCTGTAGTTTTCCTGTTTTTGAAATGAGAACTCAGCCTAGGTTAGGTGTTACAAACTCAGACACCTACAGAACCAGGCAGGTGGGTTAGTGGGGCAAGCTCAGTGAACATATTATTCTGTCTATTAAATACAGAAGCTTTTTACCATTAGTAGCTGTATTGGTTACTTTTCTGTTGCTGTGACAAAACAAAAGTGACTTATGGAAGGAAGAATTTATTTTGGTTTGTAGTTGCAGAGAGAGCGTTCATAACACAGGGAGACCTGGCAGCAGGTGACTAGGTGGGAAGCTAAGAGATCACATCTTCCCCCACATGCAGACAGGAGAGAGAGTGAGCTAGAATTAGGTGAAGTTACAAACTCTCAGGGCCTTCTCCCTATTACTTATTTCCTCCATCAAGGCTTAATAACCTAAAAGTTCCACAGCTTCCCCAAATAGCACCACCAACTGGGACCAATTGTTCAAATACATGAACCTAAGGATGCTGTTTCTTTTAAATCACCACAGTAACCATAATGTTTACTAGAAATATTTCTAAAATCCAGAATCATTGACAAAAATGCAACACACACTTACCTTGAGATGTAGCCTACCTGCTAATACTGAGCACAAGGCTTGGTAAAGTTTTAGGCTTGTGTATGCCAATGAAACTAGCTGGACCTTTCCAGTTAGCCAGGATACCCTCTGGCACACCTACCAGACAATGCCTCCATCATCAAGGTAACCAGTGTTCGGATCTCTTTCACTAATGGTTAGTGTTACATATTTTAAAACTTCATATAACTGGAACCTTATAGTATATGCCTTTTAAGCCTCTTTCATGAGCATATTTTGAACTGTTAGGAAAAAAGCACTGTGGTGTTTTGTCGTTTGTTTGTTTGTTTTACTATGCTGTCCACTTTTCAAATCCTCCCTGTCACATGTACATTCTTGAGACAGAAATATAGAGGACTCTTCTCATTGAAAAAAAAAATGAGGCGATATGAGATGCAAATTCAATGATAAAAGGAAAATGCCTCTAGCTTGGTACTAGGCTTGCTCCAAGGAACGGTGGCTATTGTGGGGAAGTGTGAAAAAATCATCATCATCATCACTGAGTATTTAAATGATGCGTATGTGCACTCTATGACATGGAACACATGTGGAGGTCAGACAACATTGTGGAGATGGTTCTCTCCTTACACCTTCATGTGGGTTCTAGGGATTGAACTCAGAATCTCCCAGGAAACTCTTTACCTGCTAACCATTCCACAGGCCCCAAAATAGCATTTTTTTAAAAGCTGTTTTCAGAGTGCGGATTTCAGCAAAGCGGAAATGTGGGTGTCCCGTGGCTGCATTTTCCATTTGTGTGTGTGTTGGGGGGGGTGTACAATAAATCTTGAGTTTTTTTTTTAAAGTTGAAATCTCTGTGCTTTTAGTATTGGCAAAAAATTTCAACCTTTTTAAGCACTTGTGTGCCAAAGCAAACATTTCTGTGGCTTGTGTAGCTTGGAAGCTACTGGCTTGTAAACGTTGGATAAAATAGGCTCTTCTTGACTGGGTATCTAGAATTCTGGAGGAGGGGCTTTCCGTATCCCGTCCCGTCCCGAGGAGAATCTCCAATGTACTCTCATACCTCCCCT